GTTGTAGGTGTTCTCACTTACGTGAATCTTTCGAGCTGCCGGAAGATGTGAGAAAATGCGCGTTAGAAACCGACATCGTACGTTTTATTTTATTTATTTTTTGTATTTTTTGTAATAAGACGGAATATAAATATTTGTATGATGAAATAAATGTAAATAAATGCATGAAATAATCACCCTGGCGTTAGCTGCTATCGGCAACTCCTCCTGCACATACGTATCGCCACGCAGCGCACGCACACAGGGCCGCGACACAACACACACACACACCAACCACACACACACACACACACACACACACACCACACACACACACAATCCGTGGCACTAGCACACATATCTGCGATCTACGATATTTAATACATATTGTCTCTACTTTCCAAGCTGTTATCCGTTGAGCGAAGCATCCGGACAGTGCTACACATATAACGCCCACCCCCGCTGGCAACATGTTCCGCAGCTAGAAGATTCGGAACATGTATCATTAACAGTATAGAACAACGTTACGATTCCAACACACGTGAGCTGGTATTTACAGCTGTCGCCCAACAGGCAATACGAGCATGGGTTAACGAGCCGGCATAAATGATCCTTATAAGCCGAATAAGGCACAAACGCTTTAACATATACACCGATGATGATATACCTCAAAGCAACATTCGATTTTAACGTTTTCCATTTCTTTATTTATTATAATTACATGTCGTGATAGTATTACCCTGATATCGAATAGGGCAAAGTAACAGCAGCTGGCATAAAATTCGCAGTGACGGCGAAGGTGATAATGGTAGTGCGTAGTGGGAGTGTGACGGTGATAGCGGTATAGCGTTATAGCGATGAGAGCGTGTGTAGTGTTGTATCGTATGCTAATTCAATAACGGATGTCGGATGTTTGCTCGTTGTAGCAACCGCTTTTCAAAAGCAAGATTCTTTTGTAATAACACGTCCTTTTTTATTGTAAAAATCGCCCACCTTTATGATAAATCAATTCAATTGCAAAAAAAGGTAAAGCTAATTCCAAAAGTACTGCGTGAACTTATTCATTATATAGGAGAGACGATTTATTAAAAAATCAGGCAATAGAAAGTTTTTACAAGAGGTTTGCATAATTATTTCTGCAAACTTAGAGTTGTAATAAAAAGCTTTTTGTGCAAATCGCTTACTACAACGATTGAACGCTCTACTCGCAATCATAAAAATCAGCCGTTATCGCAGTAAAAACCTAATCGCAAAGAAATGCTACACATAAATATACATGTGATTACGAGACAAGGCGATAAGTAAGACTAATACGTGGGCGTTGCCGAATATAATACTCTAATGTCATCGAAATGTTCATGCATAGATTTGTCTATTATATTATTCTAATAGTTATTATATAGTAAACCTGTGCAGAACGCTGCGGCGATTAATAATGAAATGAATACATATACGAAATAGAAATAGAAATAGAAATAGAAGAATAGAAATAAAATAAAATAAAAATAAGAAATAGAAATAGAATAGAATATGAAACAAAATAGAAATAGAATAGAATAGAAATAGAAATACTATACAAGTAGAAATATACACGTTTGTGACTGACTTATACCTGGTGTGAATGCCTATGCGAAGCTTCAGTTTCTGTCCTCCGGATGATGACGAATCCTTAAATTTCGTTACCGAGTTCTGAAGGTCGATAGAGCCATTTACTGGATATTTCGGCTGAGTGGTTGTCGCCATTATCTCACGGGCAGTCACTTACAACGCATATATGCTCCCGCAATGGTTTCAACCTATCGTGAAGGTTAGTGTATAGAGAGCGCGTGAGTTTTGTTGTAGTGAAAACGCAAATGTCGCATGATCTTCATAGCAAATTATGCTGGAATTATTCTTAGAGTTAATAAAGTACGCGTTATTTCCTCGTAATCGAGAAAAAGTGATCGCTATAAGTTAGTGCGAGATGAAGACAACACGCGACACGCGCGCACACGCACACACAACACACACCACGCGCGCCGCGCACGGCGCACGCCCCACACACACAGCACCACCACACACACACACACACACACAACACACACACACAACACACCACACACACACACACAACACAACCACTATTACCTTACACGTACCTTATAAACGTCGTACTCGGCAATAATAGCGTCGAATAAAGTATATAGGTCGTTCAAGAAGTCGACGACCTATTACGAATAAATATATATATCATTGTGATGCAGCACACCTAAAAATGTCATGCATGCCAAACTGCGCCTGCACGCACGCACGCACGCACGCACGCACCGCCAACGCAGACGTAGCACGTAGCACGCAACACACTGCAGGCCCGTGCCCGACGACCGCGACGGCGCGTGATGAGTGCAGCGTACAGAGAGACACAGAGATCTCACCCACACCAAAACATGAGACAACACAAACAGCAGTTTATCGTGTTAACTCGCAGGCGGGCCTAGTTCCTCAGGGTAGGCTACACTAATTATTTCAGAAGTTGTGTTATTAAAACGCCTGCTGCGAACCTAGAATTATACTGCATCGGGCTGCATCGAAATGCAGCTCAGGCCGTAAACTTCAACGATATCGAAGTAGATTCGTCACCCAATCGTATGCTTCCGGTCTACGCGTTGCCCTATCCGTAGTTTCACTCGCCGACGCTGAACAATGCGAATTGTATATATAATACATACTATACTATATACACTACTACTTACTACTTACTTACTATGAACTTAACTAGAGCTTCCATCGAAAGCCCGCCGTGTAGAAGATGCCGTTACCTCGTTAAAAGTGTTACAATAGGGCGTTCAGTGGATTTATATGCTATAACTATCATTAAGTGCGAGGCTGAGATAATCGATGCGTATTAACATCCTTGATGGATCTTAGATGATGGAGTCTGGAAGCTGTTAGTCGTTCACCTTTGTTATCTTTGGCGAAACCGCTAGTCTACTATATAGCAAGGAGCGGTGGATATCCTTTTATGGACTAGAATCTCCACACGCAGCGCTGCACCACGTCGCACCCGCACGCAAGCCTAGCGCGTGACATGCACACGGCACGCTCGTACGCGCACAGTACACGCACGCACACGCACGCACGCACTCACACCACACCACACACACACACACCACAACAGCACACAACACACACACACACACACACACCACACAAACGCGTAAATATAAGGTGTGGAAGTTGTTTGACCCCCCCCTCGCACTCTCCGCGCACCAGCGCAGAAGGTATTACCCCCCCCCCAGCCTCCCGTGCCCCATGCTTTTGCCCCTCATGCTTGCCGCCCCGCGTACCTCGGTAGAACGCGGTACAACAGCTCCTCGGAGCGTTTCTTCTCCTCGAGAAATGCCACCGTTCTCTCTTCGACGAGCGCTTCTAGATTATTCGCATACTGTTCCATGCGCAAAAGCAAGTCGTCGACTATATTCATCTTGCCTTTTATGCCTCTGAAACAAAACGATATATATTTATTTATTTATTTATTCATTATAATATGTATACTCCCATATTTATATAGGGAAAACAAACTTCAAGACGATACATCTTGCCCTTTATGCCTCTGAAACAAAACGATATATATATTCATTATTTTATTATAATATGTATACTTCATATTTATATAGGGAAAATAAACTGTAAGACGAAACATATATTGTGAGCTGAGAACCGGCAAAGAGCTGAACGTGCATTTAATTGCTCTGAAACGATAACTATATTGTAATAATAATGCGACATGTTGTATTACTATTATTATTATTATTATTATTATTATTATTACTATTATTATTATTATTAAACTTATATTTTATAAGTAAGCATACGATCGCTACGTCAACGATTAAGCCGCTTTCAAAGCAGGAACCTAGTTTCATGCGCAATAATTCATTCATTTCGCATTTCGCATTTCATTCTCTTTCATCGCTCTCACTTTGTCACGGCCCGCATCATGCTTCTTATATGCACGAACGTCGGCCGCTCATCCGGATTCTCGTTCCAGCACGATCGCATGACATCGGCCAGCTCTGAGGAGCATGCGTCGTCGATCGTCGGCCGATACGGCGGCAGTTCTGGCTCCATGAGCCGCTCAATGATCTCTGCAATGTAGAATCCGTGAAATTAATAGCCATGTTAGATTGTAGTAATAGAATAGTATACCATCCTCCCATATCCACCCACTCGCCGTAAATAAGGACCGACGACCGCTGTGTGGAAAACAATACGCGATATTTTACGAGCTTTATGTTTGGGAAGTGTGCACGATTTTCATGACGTCTATCAGCTAAAGTGGTATCGCGTACACAGACCCTGACAGTGGGGATATGCTATATGCTACAGTGGTGCGCAGATGTAAATACGTGTGACAAGTAAGTGACGTCGTGTCCAAGGAAACCAAGCAAAGAAAGAAAGGGAAACAAAATAGTCTACCTACGCATTGCGATAATGGCGTATTCTCTTCGACTAGGCTACTAATTACGTTTCAATTAAAACCCAAGTACAGCCGTTCTGGCGTTAGAATTTAAGTTGCTATTGTACGTCAGCGATTGTTCTTGGAAATAAGTGGCATATGAACCTTTTGGCCAGCCTTGATAAGCATATGATCAATAGCTAATAATACATTATTATTCTTTATTGATTTTTTTCATTATTATTACAAGGTATTATTAGCTCGATCTTTATATGATTAAGATAACATCACACGTTACGGGTATATGCGATAAAGGTGTTTATAATACCCTCTGGTTGCATGAGATCCAGGTCGTACGGTTCGTCACGAATCACAATCTCTTGTATAATAATCGCAAACGAGTAAACGTCTCCGGGCTGAGTGCCTTTAGGCGGAGGTGAAGCGATTCGCAGCAACTCGGGTGCCTTCCAAAGCAGATCTATCACACGAAGCTGTTATTATTCAAAACGTATACGATCAACTTTTATTCTCCACTTTTTATATTTTTTACTGGGAATCTTGGCGCAAAATTGTGGTTAGCAGGCTTTGTTAGCAGGGTAGCAATGCAGTACGTTTGTTTCTTTTTTGTGTGAACTGCTTCTGTGCTCTGCAAGCGTCCTTAGTAGAAACAAATGCTATATATGTGTGCAGAAAACGCCTATACGCGCAAGCGATCTGATTCGGTGTCTGGTGTTGCTACTCACCGCTACAATAGTGACTGTCACCATCCGAAGGCTTTCTGTGAGTGCGAAGAGAAGGTAAACCATAGTCTGAAATCTTCAAGACGAATCTCCCATCGACGATGCAGTTTCTCGAGTGAAGATGTCCGTGAGACACTATTGGACAGCCGTGCAGATATGTCATACCCTGCAAAAAGACGCGTTCGATAATAAAACCCGGAACCTTTTCAGTAATATAATGCAAAATTTTTACCGGTTAACAATTTTTGTATCCAACACTTTCTTTTAATAGAAAAAGATGTATGTATCGACATGCATAAATTAAGTTGGCTTAAATTAAGGTAAGCTACGCACTTTTTCCCACACTGTAACATAGTCGCATTAGTGTATAGTGTTACTGATTAGTAAATATTACTTGCAAATTAAACACATATACTAATACTATACTACACATATACATATACTTTTTCACTCATATTACTAGGCGTTAGTAAAGAGGGCGAAAGAGACTAGCCACAAAATATTTCTGATTGTAGAGATAAAATTAAAAACTTAAGAGGTCAAACTCGATTTTAGAGTTCCTCGTTAACAGTAACAAAATATGTTACGACCACAAATATATAAGAATACAACACATCCACAAATCCTATAAAAATCCGTACGCTAATTATATATATTAATCATATTAATCATTAAAAAATATAAAAATTAATATCTAAAAATTATATTGCGATCCGTACGCTGATTATATCATCGATGAGCGAGTAACGAAACACCCAATCGAGTTTGATGGCTTCGTTCTGCAGTATGTCCTGAAGGCTGCCCTTGGAACAGTACTCCATCAAGATGGCGACGTTTGGAGGGTCGACGCATGCGCCGATGAAGCGCGCCACGTTGTTGTGGCTGACGTCACGCGTCTCTTTCATCTCCATCAGCAGCGCTCTGTTCACATCGACGTACTTCTTCTCTACACGCTTCACAGCCGCCGTGACGCCCTGCGCGAGCAGAGATCACGCGTGAATAAATGCCATAGAAATAATATAGATACACTATATTACATTGCGTGGTGTATCTATATTATTCTACGATAAATGCTGACACACCCTGACCTCAGCCAAATTTCCGCGGTCAAGGTCAAAGCCGATATGATTTCAAATGGGTTTTTGCGGCCCTGCGGGATGTTATGCGCAAGCATCCGCCATTTTGTTCTAGATAGACATTATTGGGATGAATGTGTGGAGCAGGGACTGCTGTGGCGTGTCTTCTTTGATCTCGCGGTTGTTTTCTATCGTTTCTCCTACCCATTGTTGTAATGTTGTAAATGTTACATGTTACATGGTGTGTTACTCGCCTATGTGTGACACGCCATGCGAATTTATTCGCACGACCGCAGCGATTGTTAAAATCGCAGCCTATGTGTGACACGCCATGCGAATTTATTCGCACGACCGCAGCTATTGTTAAAATCGCAGCCTATGTGTGACACGCCATGCAAATTTATTCGCACGACCGCAGCGATTGTTAAAATCGCAGCGAAATTCGTATAGTGCATGTGTCCGCTCAAGCTCTGGCGAATTTCGCCGCGAATTTTATCCGCACCGAAATTCGCAGCGATCAAACATGTTCGATATTTTCGCTGCGGATTCTTACCGCTGCATACAGATTCGCATCGTGTGTCCGTGGAAGCGAAAATCGAGCCGGCCGATGTTATAATGCAGCGAATCATTGATCAGTATGATAATCACGTGATTGAGAAATGGCGGCAATCCAGAAATCACATGACTGTTGGAGCCATGAGTCGCGTTCACACGGTCATGGTTTGGCTCGAGCCAAATGGGCTAGATTTGGCTCGGGCCGGTTTGAGTCGGAGCGTTCACACGTACGCAAGTGAATACTGTCTGTCAAATTCAAATTCAAATTCAAATAAATTTTATTGCACAAATATCTCACAGATACTTTGGCAGTATGTCGCGAGATGGCGTTCCGAGTTCAATTATCAATCTTGAAAACGTGCATCCTGATCAAATTTTTCGAATTTTTATACTGTTTTGGACTATATTTCGTCGAAGTACACGTTCGACACTCGCGGCATCTACTGCTCAACCGATTCTACCGCTCTACCGCTCGCCGAAAGCTGGTGCTAAAATTTGGCTCAAGGCCTGGTTCCAACGTTTTCAATGGGACCAAATCTGGCACCAAAAACGTCCGTGTGAACGCTCGGCTCGAGCCAAATCTGGCACGGGCCTAATTAGGCTCGGGCTAAAAACGTCCGTGTGAACGTGTCTATGGTTGGAGTCGTGCGGCGACAGTAGATTGCGTGTAGTGTGCCCGCTCAATTGATCTCATGCGTGTGCGAATATTTTCGCCGAGAATTTCGCTGCGCTTCGGTGTGTACCCCGGTTTGATAATTTGCGCTGTTGATAATTAGCTACCTTGTATTGACATAAACGTGCGAATATCTGTCCCTGGACTGAGCCTATCGATGCTCTGCGTCTGTTATCCATCTGTGAAAAGATATACAGTGTAGTAATATGACACGATATAGTAAATATGATATAGTAAATATGATATAGTAATATGATATAGTAAATATGATATAGTAAATATGATATATAGTAAATAGGATAGGTAAACGTGTAAGTAGCGAAAAAAACATCCATAATCTCCTTAAAGAAGAACGAGGTAGAATTAGTACTGATAACACATTTCAAATATTGGAATGACTCTTAGCATATCGTATATTAGCGTTTAAATGTATTTTTTTACATTTCGATACCAACTCACTGCAGAGAGGTAATTGCAGAGAGGTAATTGCAGAGAGGTAACTGCAGAGAGGTAATTATTAACTATTTGCAAATTGAAATTATGAAATAGAATTTGTTCACGTGCCTTCGTGTTGAATACCCGATTCTGATAGATTCGAGTTAGCTTTTGAATGTCGCTAGTGCACTTGACAAGTTAACGCACACATTATGACGCGATACGTTGCAGTAATAATCTTTTAAGACCCTAGTGAATAACTTTACGACTAAATCCCCTACTAACCAAGGACAGTCGACTGACGGATGCCATACTGGCGTATTTTGTATGAAAATCAATATCGTTCCATTTAATTTTCCAGGACATGTCGGCAAGCTCGTGCTCCAGTTTCATTTTCCTGAAATTGTTTTAAAGAATAAAATTTAATTTACGACCGCCACTGATTTTTGTCGATGGTTTCAAAAATTAAATTAAATTCTGCATTAGCATATATTATTTATATATGTCATTTTATATGTGAATGTTTTCGCGAGTAAATCGTAAATGATTTGTCACTCGACTAACACCACACGCACGCAATATACACACAGACAGACAGACACACACACACACACACACACACACACACACACACACACACACACACACACACACACAC